AGCTTCTGTAATAATTGCGTTTGAGTCCCTCGGTTGTCCTCAGTGTGAAAAGACGGATCTCAAAATCATTCAGTCATTGCTGGAAAGGGTTCAAAAGATGCTGGAAAACCAAAGAACGGGCAGGAGCTGGAGGATTTTTCTGAAGAACCTTATTCAGGACAATACTAAATCAAAAATGAAACACATTTGTACAATTCCTCTTATATATACTGTATATATACATATATATATATATATACCTGGACTGATGTCTACCAAAACGTTCAAACAGCCCAATGAAAGGTGGCTTCAAATATAGAATTTTCACTCTTAGATAGACATGTGATTCCTGACGGCACAGTGTTGGTAAATGTGGTCTGTGTTGTTTATGAGCGGCTGCAGACGAGCTGCACAGTCAGCAGAACACAATCAGAAGCAGCCAGCAAACGCTCAACATCACACACATGAAACACTCAGCTGGCAGTCTTCATCACACTGGATGCCAAGGAGATTCTTAAAATATATGTTTGTAACTAACAGTAAAATCAATGTTTGACGTAGTACAGTTGTGATACATGGATATTCCTGTTTCTCCGATCACGTAGTGTTACGGTAGATCAACATCGAAATCAACTAAAACTCTGTTTGAGTATGAGGATGTTTATCTGACAGTCTCATCAAAATCACACAAACATGATCCATCCAGGTATAGAGATGGATAATTCAACATAAATGGACAATATATACTAAATAAATGAATGAATGATAAACATACACACATAAAATACCCTGTCTGCACTCTGAATAAAGACAAAAATCCCTAAAATAAAACAAATAATTCCTCTTTTGTATGCAATGTATCGCAGTACTATCTGTCACCTGGCGTACACATAATACACTATCACATTTCTATAATTCAAATCCGTTAAAGGATTTTTAGGCTGCATTAATTAGGTCAACCGGAACTGGGAACACTTCCCATAACACCCGATGTACTCGCTACATCATAAGAGGAATGGCATCTACGCTAATATTAGTCTGTTATTTCTTATTCCGAGGTCACCGTAGCCACCAGATCCAGTCTGTATCCAGATCAGATGGTCACTGCAGTCACCCGGATCCAGTACGTATCCAGACCAGATGGTGGATCAGCACCTAGAGAGGACTTCTACAGCCCTGAAAGACAGCGGAGACCAGGACAACTAGATGAGCCCCAGATACAGATCCCCTGTAAAGACCTTGTCTCAGACGACCACCGGGACAAGACCACAGGAACCAGATGAGTCCTCTGCACAATGTGACTTTGCTGCAGCCTGGAATTGAACTGCTGGTTTCGTCTGGTCAGAGGAGAACTGGCCCCCCGACTGAGCCTGGTTTCTCCCAAGGTTTTTTCACCATTCTGTCACCGATGGAGTTTAGGTTCCTTGTCGCTGTGGCTTGCTTAGTTGGGGACACTTGACTGATTGCACAGACACTATTGGAAGAGAGCTGAGCTGGATGATGAGATCACTCAATCATGAACTGACTTTAGCTGGAACATGACTCTGTTATTGGCCTCTTGCATTACTGAAACTATTTTCCTGTTGACACTGTAAAGCTGCTTTGACACAATCTGTATATAAATAAAGGTGACTTGACTGTAGCAATTAATTAGTATCAGAATTTAAGCGAATATCATTTATTACCTTAATGAGTAATTTCTGAACAAACGGTCAGATTAATTGTCAGTGTGCTACATCATCTCTGTGTTGCAGAACACACACTGTTCCTGTACCTGACACGGTTAATGCAGTATAAAACACATGGACTCACCACTGAGACCTGCAGCTTTAATTGGGATTAATTAGAGACACCCAGAGCTACACTGTAAGCACTTGCTTTGTAATGCTGATCGAAGAAACACAGAACACGAGAAATGAACAGCAGACCCACAGGAACAAAAAGAGAAAGAAAAACTTCAGCACAAACACAGCTCTGATTTAAAGCGATTGTGTGAAGAACCAGCAAAAACCTGATACAGCAGGGAACGCTAGACGATTTGCCAAGCAAGACATTAATAGAGGGTCAAATTTATATTTTCAAAAATGTCATATTTATTTATTTGTCACTTATCATACTCAAAATGCTTTAGTGATCTAACCCACAGTCGTGATAACAGCACTTATTCTGTGTGATTAACATTACACATCTGAGTTATTACAATTAAAGCTGCAGTCCGTAACTTTTTTTTGGTTAAAAATGATCCGATATCCGATATTTTGCTGACACGTCATTACGTCATGCCTGTAAACATAAAGAACTTTTCCCGGATAGTAGACTATATCACATGTGAGGATCCTGCAGGTGACGGATCATTTATAGCCTTTTCTCACAGCAGCTGGAATAATTACATTTATCATTTTGATGGCGGATTGTAATCCAGAAAGGATTATGTGTTTATGAAACACATGTGACAGAAATTAGATTATATTCCAGTTTTAAATGTGCCTAACCCTAGCCTGGGATTACACAAGATTTGTATTTTAAAGACAGCCAGTTTGAAGGAAGAATAGTTTGCTTTTTGGGTTAAAAGAATTTCTTGATTTGAAATTCCAATGGTATGACAATTAGAGATTAGACTGTGCAGAAATTGAAATCTACAGGTAACGCTAATACACACTAATACACATAGTCACGCAATGCTGATGTTGTTAACATTAACAATGTGAGAACAAAGTATAACAATAATAGTAATTTGCATGGTTTGATGTGATATGAGCTAACCGATCGTTAGATTTAATCACAGATGGTAGCGCGATTTATTGTAATGCTTTTTTCCTCAATTGGTCAGAACAAACGTGGCAGACTTGTTACTTACTTGTTCAGATGACAATCTCCCGTGAAAACCCTTATTTGGGTCATATATTCCAAGACGTAGGTGAGAATCTGTGATTCCTAAGTACAGTATCCACACCGGTGCGGTGACCGACAGCCACACATATTCCTCAAAACATTAGATTCATGCCGGTGCACGACCCACGTAATGAAGATAATTACGCAAATAACTGCAATTGCAGGTTTTCAAACAGAGATGGCGACAAAGAGGCAAAACTTACAGACTGTAGCTTTAACTAAAACCAAAACCATACAACTGTTTCATTACTAGATATGAACCACATCTTGATGATAATAAAACAACACTACCAACTAGCCCCTTCTGAGGTAATAGACAAATGAAAATGCCAGAGCTTGAACTCTTTTTGCCATCTTTATTTTATCCAATATTTAGGGTTACTCTCATTCTAAGTGTAATTTATTAAGGGGTTTAGTACTGATGCACCGATGGCAGATGGACAAGCTTTCAGTCCAGATACAGTAAATAAATATGCAAAAGAAAACCCAGTGCAGGTCCATTTAGAGACACACAGACCCAAAACCTTGAGCATGCAGTCAGCGTGAGATTTGTTGAAGTGTTTTATGACCGCAGGCTGTCCTCAGCTATAGAGAAAAGACAAAGACATGGCCTCAAATGGCCAGCGACAGTGAATGAACGCGAGACGGACGAGTGGCCTTCAGTCTCTCACGCGCTACTGCCTCAGCGTTAGGTGCAGACAGTTTGTGCTTGCATTTAACTGCCCAACATCTGTCCGATTATTACTAGTGCTTTTGGACATCACACTGACAGTCATCAGCCTGAGTGCATGAGCTTTAGCTGAAAAGCTGTTCTTTTTCATATACGGTTTTCTCCGTTTCATACTACGCATTCATATAATTAAAATGTTTGGATTCTATCCCAACTAGTGTCGTTTGGACATTTTATTTTCCCACTGTTAATGTTAATAGGCTAGTTAATAGTAACATTCATATAATGTTCATTCAAAATCATCTAATGCTCTCAAAACACTAACATGAAAACATTACTCATAAATTGTTCATGGAACTTTCTGGCCATTCGTCTAACATTTTTTAAATGTTACTATTTGTTTCAGGACTGATCGACTGGAATGTTCACTTAACATTCACATAACCAAGAAAAAACATAACGCAGGTGCAATGCTTTTAATTATATTTTGTCAGCTGGTTTGTGTCTGCAGTATGTAAAATGTTTGGTTTCATGATTTGTAAAGTGCCTTATGCACTAGCTGCATGTGTTAAATCTAATACATATATCATTATGATTGTTATGAATATCAGTAGTATCTGTGACAGAGCTGGTCACGTGATCTCAACATGATGGCTCAAGGAGGAGCAACCAGCTCCATGTAGAATAAAAACAGCCTTATATTAAACTTTCATATAACTGGTGTCTTCATCTCACATATACATAAATATACATCACTTTAATGATGCTACTCAAAAGTGCCACCAATTTACTTTTTATTTAGCAAAATAAATACACGTATGTACCTTTAAATAGTTCAGCTGTGTAAGAAGATGTCTAAATAAAAAAAACATCCAGCCAAACAAAACAAAGAGAGAATGTAGTATTCTCCGAGCAGTTATTTGCATGATCTTGCATCCCAGTGAAGCAACAATCTCACAATTTTACAACAGCAATACATCTGGAAACCACCAAAAACGACTCTAAAGCATCTCTAAAGCAAAAGCAGCAGGGTTTAACGTCTGTAACTGAGAAGTTGAATCAAAGCTAAAACACTGATGGCAGACTGAGTTCTTTACTTACTTCGGATGAGAGTAAATATGCAAACGATGACGGTGAGCGCGCGCGTCATGGTCCAGCGTGTGTTTCGCTGCTCTTCAGTCCCATCCAGCCTCATGCAGAACCGCAGAACTTCACAAGCGCGAACAGCACTGAGGATGAGGAGGAGGATGAAGCGCTCGCACCCGCAGCCACAGCACGAGCAGCAGCGGAACATCCAGGGCTCGCTCCTGTTCCGCCAACACACACACACACACACACACACACTCATCCGCGCCTCCCTGCCTCTCACAGCACACCGGGGCTAGTTGTCACAATTTTCAGGTTTGTGCAGGCACGGTCTTGGCAACAAAAGACAAATGTGTGTTTTAGAGTTATTGATCGGTGGGGGAAAAATGTTCATTGAACACGTGACATTTTGTGACAACATGCCCCAGTTGCACTATAAATGCTACGCTGTCCTATAACACCTCATTACGCAGCCTCTTGTAGGCTAAAATCTAAACAGGAAAACAATTATGAAAATCAAGCTGCAAAAAAAGAAAGGTCAAATATAAAAACAGAAAAGACTTTTGAGAACAGATATGTGACCCTGGACCACAAAACCAGTCATAATGTTCAATTTTTTTAAATTGAGATTTATACATCATCTTAAATAAGCTTTCCATTGATGTATGATTTGTTAGAATAGGACAATGTTTGGCTGAGATACGTCTGTGGAAGTTTTAGAATAAAAGTAATTCCCACGGTGCACACAATTACTCAAATAGACATTTTAGTGGCAAAGCAACTTGTAATAAGGTGCATGAATCATATTGTTGGCAAAAATACAAATTTTACTTCTAATATTTGTAGATAAAACTGCATAGAAGAAAACATGTCCTCAATGCAAATCATAATGCATAAAGTAGTTTATAAATGTGTGGGGCCATCTGGATGGTGTAGTAATTCATATTTTGCATTTTAAAAATAGACCAGAAATTATCTTTCTCTCTTGTCCTCTCAGACCTCCTCATGTGATCATCTGCTCTCTCTTCACCTGATCCTGCTGGTCTTGGTCATTCACCGGGTCAGAGTTCAGGCTAAAACACTCTCAAGGTCTGCTCTGTGACAGAGATCTGTGTTTGTGGAGCAGAGAGATTTACACCTGGTCATCCGATCTCAGCCGTGCTGAGTTATCTCTCAGCCGCTCTGCTGAATGAATGGGGGAGATGAAAGCCTCTCTGATGCTGAGCTTCACAGTAACAGGTCGATAAAAGTGCAATAAAAATATATAGTACACACACATACTGGAAGAAAATGAGAGATTCTAGTTTTTATTGATACTTTTCGCTATTGAATGAATTATCATCAACATTTTGCTCACCTCATCTGCTATTTTTTTTTTTTTTTTTTTAAACTGGTCTTGCAGTGCATTCTGGGATTTCCATTTCTGGAATTCGTACAGTGAACAGACGACTGACCAATAGTAATGTAATGTCACAGATTAACCCTGAGATACAGCAGTTTGCAGTGTTTCCTGTGGAAGCTTGTTTCCACCAGGGGATAAAAAATAAACAAATAAATAAAAAGTTGCAATGACCTTTTGTTCTCTCACAATTCTGACTTTTTTGTGAGATATAAACACAGAATTGTGAAGAAAAAGGTCAAAACTGTGAGATAAAAAGTTGCAATTACCTTAGTTATTTATTTTTTTATCCTGCGGCAGAAACACACTTTCAAAGTTTCGGAAAGAGAGAAGCAGATGATATATATTTAAACATTTTGCTTTTATTATTATTTGTTTTTGAAGATCCATTTTGCATTTAACCAGAAGCCCTAGAGCATGACACCATATCCTGTTCAATTCCATTCACGTTTATTTGTATAGCGCTTTTCACAATACACATCGTTACAAAGCAGCTTTACAGAAAATGAAAGTTACACTTTGGAGTAGTTTATCAGTGGTGACTGTCAAGGTGATGTTCATATGGCAGAAATGTACAGTAAAATCATGCAGCTTGTTAATGCCGTGTTCAAACAGAAAAGCTGAACACAATTAAGAGAAATGATTATATGTTGTGACCAAACTTATAGTAATGTAAGGAAAATTTCGTAGTTTTGCATGTTGGTTCAGGGTTGGTGTCATCAGGGGTTATCTCAGATCTTCATAAGAGGCTGGATCCAAACTGAAGCTTTAATCTTTAACACACTCTGTTAGCTTAGATAGTTTAGAAGTTTCATCTGGTCTTGTTGAAATATATAGCTGAGTATCATCAGCATAACAGTGGAAACTAATCCTGTATTTTCTAATAATATTACCATGGGGCAACATATCAATTAAAAATAGCAGAGGGCCTAAGACAGATCCTTGGGGCACTCCATACTTTACTGCCATTAATTGAGATGATTCCCTGTTTAAATAAACAACGTGATAACAGTCGGACAGGTAGGATCTAAACCATCTTAGCCTGCTCTTGAATAGTTTATCGATCTAATAATATTGATCTATAAGTATTTCATGATCTATAGTGTCAAACGCAGCACTAAGATCAAGTAAAACTAGCAATAAGATGCAGCCTTGGTCTGACGCAAGAAGCAAGTCATTTGTAATTTTAACAAGTGCAGTTTCTGTGCTATGATGAGGCCTGAAACCTGATTGAAACTCTTCATAGATACCAGTTGTCTATTAAAAAGGGACATCAGATTCTAAGAGGTCGCAGTAAGTGATTTTCTGTCTCTCAGAAGTGTGAGAAAATAATCAGATAGGATTGATGTTGTAGGTGTCAGATTAACAGTTCATGTGTAGTTCATTCATCTCAGATGCTCTTCAGTTAAACGTCACAGATCTGCGATTGAGAATGTTAAACAATATACTTCTCTGAATCTGATTTAGGTGTGACATTTTTAGTACGTTTTTAAAATACCTGTGAAATGTAGAAATTAAATGTTTTGTTAACATGGGGAATTGTGGGAAATGTGAAATGCATTGCTGTTACAGAGTACTATTGGATGATTGCCAGGAGAACTACAGTCTGTCACTTTTCCTGCTTTCATCCCAGTCACATTTTTCTCTTACGTCTGGCAGAGATGAAGCACAGACACATGAGTGGAGGTTTCTCAGCAGGATTGAGAGTTCAGAACAGATCTGGGAAAGTGTGTCCACATCGCCACAAAGAGATGCTGAAGATCACACCATTTCTGTTTCATCCAGCGATCAACTCACAGATATTTTTAGGGTGAGTTCATCACTCACTTGACCGTCTTTGCCTGTTGAACCTGTTTATTTAAAAAAGATATTTGAAAATAAAGAAAATGGACAAACAAACAAACAAATACATACATACACACATACATACACGCATACATGCATGCATACATACATGCATACATAAGAAAAGTGCAGAGTTTGTTCACATTTTTCTGTATAAATGGTTGGAAATTTAAGCCTTGAAAAACAAATAAATTACTCTGTCGGAATCACGTGACATCACCGGTGGGGATGACGTAGCGACCTGGAAGTATAACAGCACATGCGGTGGAGACAGCGACAGCTTCTGTTGTTCAGTAAGCGCTCTATGTGTGTTCGTTCTATTTATTGTTGTCTGTCTTTGAAAGTGGTATCATATTACAGTATCATTGTTATGGCAAGCAAAGACAAGAAAGTGGACAAGCGATCTTTCAAGCTGTCTGTTCCTCCCTGCCCGCGTTTCATTACGGGTGGGGATACACACAGTTTGTGTGTTGCTTGTCTGGGAGCGGAGCATGCTCAGTCAGCTCTCGAGGGAGCTGACTGTCCGTATTGTGTTCGCCTTCGAGGAGGGCGCTCTCTCTAGCGTTCCTCACGGTTCAGGTCCCGCTTCTGCCGATGCAGAGCGGCGACTCAGATTGTGGGGTTCGCAAATGGATGTGGCAGAGGGAATAGAGACGGGTAGGTCCTTTTCTCTTTCCTCACCTGCCAGATCCAACGCTCTCTCTCAGGGAACGGAAGCACGTTCTGAAACGGTTTCTTCCGCCCCTGGAGAGGGCTCGTTGCTCCATTTATCTTCCTCTGAGGAGGATGATGATGAGGGTACCGACAAAGATGAATCTGTGGATTTGCCACCACAGTCAATCCTATTTGAGGAGCTTAGAGCTGTGGCCAAATTAAACATTGACTGGATGACTGAAGAGCAGGAAGAGCATCCGAAGAGCAAGCTTGATGAACAATTCTTGTGCTCTAAGTCACTGCCTCCACGCCGGGGCCTGCCGTTCTTTCCCAATCTGTACACCGAGGTGTCCAGATCATGGAATAAACCTTTCTCGGCCCGCATCTTTAGTCCCAATGCCTCACTATGCAAACGTGATTGGACTAAAAGAGTGTGTTTATGGGACGATGCCCCGGGTTGAAGAGACACTTGCGAGTTATCTCTCGCCTGGTGCATCATTGTCCCTCAAGGCCCCAGTGTTACCCCCCCACCTGCTTAGGACTTCTTTGATTTTGGTGGGTAAAGCGTACACGGCAGCAGGTCAGGCTGGCTCTTGCCTGCACACCATGTCAGTGTTGCAGGCATATCAAGCTGACCTGCCGAAAGAGATGGACGAGGGAAAAGATATTAAGAACGACGACATTGCAGAGCTGTGTCGGGCCATGGATTTTTCACTTCAAGCCACCAAGGAGACCGCCAGAGCTATTGGGCGGTCCATTGCAGCCTTGGTGGCCACCGAAAGGCATCTGTGGCTGACCCTGTCCAATATCAAGGAGAAGGACATGGTCTTTTTTATGGATGCCCCGCTAGCGCCTTCTGGTCTGTTCGGCGACACTGTAAATACAGTCATCGACAGATTTCAGGAGGCCAAGAAACAAGCGGCGGCGTTCCAGCAATTTCTCCCTTGCCGCTCTCATGTGTAGCCGTGTACAAGCTCCTCATACAAGGAAGTCCAAAATTGGAGCGTCGCCACTCATACACCCTCACAGAAAGAACAGGAGTCGAGGCGGCGCTCCAGGCCGAAGTCTTCCACAGATGTGACAGATCTGAGGACTGTCATTAACAGAAGAAGTCCTGACATAAAAACGTTAGGACTTCTGAGGGCAGGCCCCTCTGGGGAAGAACGGTGTACACCTCAGCAAACGGTGCCTGTCTCTCCTCAGTGCCCTCAGGAGATCGTCTCGTTAACCCTGCCACCCCCTGTGCTTCAGGGCACAGCGGTCTCCAGCGAGTGCAGCTCTCAGCTACCGCCCAGGAATGTAGCGGTTCTGGGAAGGCTCGCTACCTCCAAGGAGGTCTTTAGAGCAGTTAGATCGGCCGTTCCCTGCCGGTCCTCCGCTTCAGGGCACCGATTTAACCACTCTAATTACACCAGAGGTCAGTCTCAAGAGACTGATTCCCTTAGTAAAATATCTGGCAGTGTGAAAGCTTCTGCAAAATGTGTCACAATGGGTCCTGCACACTGTAGAAAGAGGTTACAAAATTCTCACCCGCCTCATTTCAACGGGGTCATTCCCACCTTCGTGGGCCCTGAGCAGGCTCTGGTAATGGAACAAGAAGTGAAAACTCTCTTGAGGAAGGAGGCCATCAAGGTGGTCCCTCCTCTCGACAGAGAGTCCGGGTTCTACAGCCTGTACTTCATCGTTCCAAAGAAGGAAAGATGCATGACATTTGTGACGCTGCGGGATGGTCCACCCCTATGACCTTCGTCAGGTTTTATGGCCTTGACCATGCCGCTCCTGGCTCCTCAGTTCTCTCGACTTAGCTGTGCCGATCCACATTGGTCAGGAATTGGTCAGTCTGGGGACGTGGGCATACTCGTTCCCAAAGAGTTTTGCTACGCAGCTTGAGTTCCTGAAGGGGAACGTCACTAGGTTACATATGTAACCCTAGTTCCCTGAGGAAACGAGACGCTGCGTCTCGTAGCCATACTTCCTGCATCCCTGCGAGTCGCTGGTCGCTACGTCATCCCCGCCGGTGACGTCACCCGGGATTCCCTCGGACAGATTACACACGTGTTTCAGAGCGTGGTCACACAGAGGTGTTCCCAACAGCGTCTCGTTCCCTCAGGGAACTAGGGTTACATACGTAACCTAGTGACGTTCTTTATTGCCATTGTTGGTTCCATGAAAAACCTTTAACATCTATGGAATGTTTACATTGCACTAAAGTTTCTTCATCGTGAAAATAGTTCTTCAGATTATTAAAATGTTCTTCACACTAAGAAAAACATGACTCTTTTCACTGAAAGGTTCTTTCGGGAACCCAAAATGGTTCTTCTATGCCTGGCATCATAGTGAAAATCCCCTTTTAGAAACTTTATTGGTCATTAAGAGTGTACAGTACCCTCAACATTTTAGATTGTCTCTTTTTTCTCATTATTGATGATTTTTTGTCCTGTGCTGATGTATTTTGGACTTACAGAACTGAGAAGCTCATCAATAGCCAATAGGCTTTAGTTACGCCAGAGACAAGAACACTGATTCGCTTGTCATTTGGAGGTGGTTGGGAGGGAGGAACATGCCATTACAGAGCATTTGATTGGACAAAAATCATCAATATTTTTAGTGTTTATTTCTTATGTTCTGCTATGTTAAAAGTTTGTTTCATATTTATATTTGCTTAATTTAGCCAACCTTTAAGAATACGTGAGCATATGCATGACCTGAATGTTAACAGACATAGACTAAAAGCCACAAAACTCAATTAAAGACCTCATAAAATTAGTTTATGTAAGAAAACAGACAAAGTGTCCATGTGCATGTGTGCGTGGGGCTGGAGGTGATGGAAGAGAAATGAGTAATCAGAGAACTGCTACTGTAGCAGAGCGAGATATATATCAAACGGGCAGTTCATTACCTCAAGTGCTTGGCTCCTATAGCAGAGACAGCAGCAAATACAGAGATATTGACTAAAGATTGATCAGGAAAATCCACACGTGATGGGATGAACACGCGACTGCACTGTGTCTCTGTGTGTTTATGAACTTAAAATAGATTATGTGATCAATAAAGACACTGTACTGTACATGCTGTGTGCGTGTGTGTGTGTGTTTGTGTGTGTGTGTGCGTGTGTGAGCGTGCGTGCGTTTGTGTGTGAGTGTGTGTGCGTGAGTGTGCGTGCGTGCGTGTGAGTGCGTGCGTGTTTGTGTGTGTGAGTGCGTGGGTGGGTGTGCGTGTGTGTGTGTGTGTGTGTGTGTGTGAGTGTGTGTGTGTGTGTGTGTG